AAAATCTTGCTCCATTCAAATGAATGGGAAAATTCTACTTTAGCATACTTTCAGCTATCAAAATGTTCAGCTCTTCAAGGACATTCATGCGTCTCTCCAGACGTTTTCTAAACGTCATACTTTTAAAATATTTAATTTTATTTTGAAAATCTTGCTCCATTCAAATGAATGGGAAAATTCTACTTTAGCATACTTTCAGCTATCAAAATGTTCAGCTCTCCATAGACATTTATGCTTCTTTTCAGATTTTTTTGAAGCGTAATACTTTTGAAATATTTAGCTTTAATTTGAAAATTTTGGCCCCATTCAAATGAATGGAAAAAATCTACTTCTGCATATTTTCAGCTAGCAAAACCATTCAGGTGTCAAAATGTTCAGTATTTTCAGGGCGATCTTTCAGTACTCAGCATCCATATGCATTTTCTTCAGAAAATGCAATTTTGTAGTTATTATTCTTCCATACGTTTTTTGGCACTTAACTACTTCAGCATACTTTCAGCTAGAAAAGCCATTCAGGTATCAAAATGTTAGGCTTTTTCAGGACATGCGTGGATGTATACAACTTTTTTGTAACTTTTATACTTTTTAAAATATTCAGCTTTATTTTGAAAATCTTGCCCCATTCAAATGAATGGGGAAATTTTTACTTTTGCATACTTTCAGCTATTTCAGCTATCAAAATGTTCAGCTCTTCAAGGACATTCATACTACTATTCAGAACTTTTGAAAACTTCGTACATTTTAAATATTAACTTTATTTTGAAAATCTTGCCTCATTGAAATGAATGGGAAAATTCTACTTCAGCATACTTTCAGCTATTAAAATTTTTGACTCAAGGACATTCATGCTTCTATTCAGAATATTTCTAAACTTCATGCTCTTGAAATATTTAGCTTTATTTTGAAAATTTTGACCCTTTGAAATGAATGGTAAAATTTTACTTCAGCATAATTTCAGCTATCAAAATGTTCAGCTCTTCAAGGACATTCATTCGTCTCTTCAGAATTTTTCTAAACGTCAGATTTTTAAAATATCTAGCTTTATTTTGAAAAATGTGCCCTATTCAAATGAATGGGAAAATTCTACTTCAGCATACTTTCAGCTTTTAGTTATCAAAATGGTCAACTCTTCAAGGACATTCAAACTTCTTTTTAGAATTTTTCAAAACGTCATACTTTTAAAATATTTAACTTTTATTTTGAAAAATTCTCACCATTCAAATGAATTGGAAAATTCTTCTTCAGCATACCTTTAGCTATCAAAAAGTTCAGCTCTTCAAGGACATTCATGCTTCTATTCAGAATTTTTCAAAATTTCATACTTTTGAAATATTTAGCTTTATTTTGAAAGTTTTGCCCCATTCAAATGAATGTGAAAAATCTACTTCAGCATACTTTCAGCTATTTCACCATTCAGGTGTTAAAATGTTTAGCAGTTTCAGGGTGATCTTTTAGCACTCAGCATCCATACCTATTTTCTTCAGAAAATGCAATTCTGTTGTTAACTACTGGATTAGAATCGAAATTATTCTTGAACAATGCTCAGTAGACAAATATGTTTATTCTTCCTTTTTTGCATACTTGAAGATTGATGCCATTTTCACAATTGTCTGCTAAATAGAAATTGGTTAATTAGTTAGTCTAGAGCTGCTCATCGGTGGATTATTTTAGAGTTTGAAATAAGACATGTAGCTGTTTCCCGTTTATAGTCTTGTGCTAGGCAAAGTTAACCAGTTGTTTGTGGTAACTTTCAGATTTACGAAACAGACATAAATTGTATCATTCTTTTTATCTTTTTTTCCTAATTAAGAAAATGATGTCAAACTATATCTTTACTAACCCAATAATACTGACAGTGGACCAGTGTAGTTCTCATGCTAGCAGCTAACATTGCTAACTCTTTGGTAATAGTTTTGACTGTGCATTTAAACAAAAAATCTAAACTTAGGACTCTGTTTGGCACATTTAAGTTCTCGTACAATTATTTAAACTCTAAAACAGGTAGAATATCAGGTTATAGAAAACAGCCAGTATTGTCGTCACTGTCACTGAAATGGACTTGATCATGATGTTACTTCAATGCCTTAAAGAGAAAATTGATGGTGATATCATGGATATCATGTTGTCCTCTGTGCTAACTATGGTCAACAGGTGTCATTATATAACCAATGATTAAACAAACTCATGCTGAGGACCAGGCGGATGAGAGGAAAGTTCCATGCTTTGTGTGTGTGTGTGTGTGTGTGTTAGCATTAACAGTCAGTAGGGTGATTCCAGTAGTGTTTTGAAAGTTGGATCTGGCTATGTTGGAGCAGACAGAATCATTCTGCCCTACCGCATTGATGACATGCATGGGTAAACACGTGTTTCACCGTCTGTGTATGACCAAAACACACATCATTCCAAAATGTGTGTACACACCCCCTGCAGTCCTCAGCCAGAAACCTGTGTTACGTCCACGTTGCCCTGGCAACACTGCAGATGTTTCTGTCACTGGCAGCGGTTGTAAAAAGACCTTAATGGTGATAGCTTGATCTCTTTCTTTCAGTACTCTTTATGTTGACCTTCACTGTTAGACTTTTTCAGCAAACATGATATATTTTGATTTTATTTTTTCTATGATATTTGCTGGATGTACTGCTATACAGAAAAAAGGCAGGACAGTACATACCACCAAAGTAGCTGGTCAGCTGGAGTTTGACAGCCCTGGTGTTTGTTTTATCATAGTTAAGTTATACAGAGGAGACAGACCATTTTTTTGAGCATGGCTGTTTTTAATGTTAGCACATTATCTAACAAATCCTTCTGTACTAATAATATTATTACCGATCATGAGCTAAACCATTTGTTTTGTACTGAAGCCTGGGTGTGGATGCACTACTAGGGTAAATTCCCTTCTTAGCATCCACGTTTCCCTGACGTGTATCTTTTCTCTTAGTCTTACCCATGTAGGATATGTGGAGAGAAAGCAATCAAGGAAACACATTTGTACAGACATGGGACGTCGTTTCTTTCGATCCTTCATCTTGCGTGTCCAGTTACCAACGGATTTCTGATGAAAGGGCTCGTTGGACCATAAAAGCCGTCCATTAAGGACGCTCTTGTGTATCCTCGCTCATGGCTCCTCTAGGCAGCTTATTCACTCCTCATTCCTTGTTCCTACTTTATATCCTTCTGATACATTTTACTTGTCATTCTGTCCTTTCATATTTGAGCAGATTTTTAAAATTTAATTCCAGTTATTGATTGAACTTTGTTTTATTTGTATAACTTTTAAACCTATTTTTTATGCCCTTGTCTGCCTAATCTTTTATTGCACTAATTTGTATGAAAGGTCCTGTGATGGACCGGCGACCTGTCCAGTGTGTACCCCGCCTTTCGCCTGATGCCGGCTGGGATTGGCTTGTGACCCCATTCGGGACTGAGCAGTATAGAAAATGAGATGTATGAAAGGTGCTATATTAATACAATTTGATTTGATATAAACTGTACCTTCACAATCACTCTTGTAGATTTCAGCAGCAACAACAAACAGTATCAGAGTGCTGTCTAACCCTGGGCTGTCAGAGAAGTTGGCTCTTTTGGTCACTGTCAACAGTCCAAAGTGATACATTTAATTACACTTGGGGAAACTTCCTTCTCTGCACATGGAGGTTTTTCTAAGAAACGGGCATGTTTGCAAACAGTAAGTTGATGTCTAAATAAAGCCCCCACCCTCCCCTGCCCCATGTAGGAAGCTTGCTTGGTCCTTTTAAACAGTGACACAGACAGGAACCTTCGGGAGGGAAGCTTTAAATAGGCGAGGCCATGGCCCGGCTCAGCCCAGCTCAGCACCGCAGCGGTCTGGGCCTCGGCAGCTACGGGCCATCTAACAGTGACTGTTGCTGCCATTTTTACCCTGGTGAGGTCAGGCAAGTCCTGGGAGTCCACTCTGGCCACCAGTGTGATAAGTCATTGGGTTTGGTACTGCTGTGGTTTTCTCAGTCCATACTTTGGTGTTTAAGTTAGTCCACTTTAGGTCTGCAGGGTCAGTCGAGTTTATTGACCAGTCATGTTGCCAGAAATGGTCATGCTGGAGCCCTAAGTTTGTTACATTCAGTCTTTTTGTAATATCTCCATTTTACACAATGTTCATTCCTTTAGTTAATCTGTTCCAGCACATTCTCCTGCTGTTTTCCTCTTATAACCCATTTTCATGAATCAGTATTCCTTCATTCAGTGACATCTAGGTTAATTACAAGAGGCTCCCGTGACTAGCGTACCTCTGGTTCATCTGTGGGTCTGCGTCTGTGTTGTTTAGATGTTGTGTCTAGCCCCACATCCCCTGTAGGGCCTTTGGGATTTCTTTCCCCCTTTTCACTCAAGGTTTTTCCTTGCCCTGGGGCATTGGCACCCCTCCCTGTGCCCTCCTTGCCACCCCTGAGTCAGGGCCTGGCTGCCTCTGGCCACCACAGCCATAAAAAAAGGGCACTGGAGCTCTGCGTCTGCCTCGCCCTGCTGCCTCACCTGCAACACACTTGCCAGTTTACATACTGCCACAGAAACAGCAGTCAGCTGTGTATGTGCGTGTGTGTGTGTGTGTGTGTGTGTGTGTGTGTGTGTGTGTGTGTATATAGTTAGAATAATGTTAACACTTTTACTAACTGGATGGTTTTACTGACAGTGGCCATTATGTGGATGTCTCAGCATCCTTATTTGAACACGCTTGTCACGCCACTGACGTGCCGCTCTCACATTTGACATGCTCAGCGCTCACTGGTTGAAAGTGGAGTGGTGTCTCTAAAACAAGAACGTGGCAGCTCCGTTATGCAGTGCATAAGGCAACCAGCTAAAATCATTGCCGGGAGAACTCTAAGGGACAATGCAGATTATGTTATTAAATATAAATAAATAAACATTAATTTCTTGACTTTAAAGTCATACATACAGAGGCACCTAGAAAGCAGTAATGTCCTTGTTACAGTATAACCGTTGATTCCATCTGTCTCTCTCTGTTACAGGTGGAGGAGATAGGCCTGTATTTCCGTCAGCAGCTCCTGCAGTCCCGCCACCGTGGTGCCTTTGAATTGGCTTATGTGGGCTTTGTACGGGTCACTGACATGCTGTGCAGGTGTGTGTTCATATTCAGGGCAAAGGGGCTGAAAGGTAATACTGCTGAATGGCTGTAGGCATTAGCTTCCATCATGACAGTGCCTGTGCTTTGTAATTAGCAAGAGGCAAGCTTCTCAGTATCGCTCTTCAGACATAATATACTGAAATTACATCAAGATTGGATAATTGGAGTTATTCATCTTTGGGACAGCCAACAGAGATGAATGTGCATGAAAAACACTGGGCCTGCTAATAATAGAAAAATATACTCTGTGTTAACCCCAAACTCAGTAAATAAATTAAAAAGTTTTTATTGAATGAGAAAAGCGGTTAGCTTTCATGGAATTTTATATATTATTTATTTAAAGGAATAATTGAGCACTTTGGGAAGGTGAATAGGTACACCTTCCAACAATTCTAAAGCTGAATAATCTGTCCTTTCTGTACACTATCAAAAAAGCAAAACCTGTAATTTGTTATTTTGTGTTGTATTGTGCTGAAGCTGTTTCTTAACAAACAGTAGGTTATGCATACTATAACACTTCTGTGCAGAATCTCAAGCTGTGGTGGGAGTTCATATTACTGAGCACAGACTTGAGTACCAGATCTGGCAACCTGTGATGTCAAGACGTCAGGAAGCTGCACACATGGCTGTTATTCACCACATAAAATAGTTAAACAGCTAGCCTGGCTTTGTCCCATGCTGATATTCTGATCTCACTTTTAGGAAGAAAATCAGTGCATTTCCCAAAATGTTGATCTGCTCTTTTAATTACAATATAGAAAGAAAGTCACTTTCGGCTTTTCCCGTTTAGGGGTCGCCACAACGAATCGTCACACTGACGACTCACATGTTGACATTTGGCACGTATTTTATGCCAGAAGCCCTTCCTGACGCTTTAAGTCAGTTTCAGCTTTTCGCGTTTAGGGGTCGCCACAGCGAATCGTCCCACTGACGACTTGCACGTTGACATTTGGCACGTGTTTTACGCCGGATGCCCTTCCTGACGCAACCCTGATTCGAACCCGGGCCACAGCGGCGAGAGCGCTGCGCCTTAACCACTAGCCTACCAGGGATGGCTTCTTTTAATTACAATATAACATCTTAAGATATCAGTCTAAATATATTGGTACTTAAGTGTTGCAGTGAGATGTTTTCATTTTTAGTGTCCTTTTACAAGCCTCAGATTTACATATGATCTTATCTGTTTTCGTATAGTATCATGTGATGCGTGGTCTATTGTCAGTGAAAAGCCTATTTGGTGCTTTTCACTGACAGTAGACTCTCTGATCACATCACAGACAACATAACCATTTACCAAGTTTGGGGCAAAATATTTCTAAATAAAACAAAACAAAACAAAAAACAAACGAACAAAAACACTTAAACTGTCCCCAAATTTATCTCAGATTTATAATTTAAAGCTATCTATGCACACTGAACAGTAACGGACTGATGGGGTTTGCATAGAGACATACTTTGAGGGTCAGCATTAATCTTGGCTGGAGTCTTATATGACTCCACACTCCCCATCACCTCTGCTATTCATGGAAATAATCCCTCCATTATCCTCCTCGTGTGAAATAAAAAAAAACAAATGTCTTTTAATGAACCAGTGAACCACACAAAAGAATTTCTTGCTTCCTTGTACCTCCCTGGCCAGTTGTGGAAGATGTCTTTAGCTCTGCAGCAGGTGACCAACCACACAACCGTTGCTGCAGCATCACTTTTGAACCACCCAGTGCTGAGCAGTTAAGCCCACTTGTTTTGCTCTTGCACTGAAACCAGGCTCTTGGTGTGTTGTGTAAGAGCGACATTCTAGTGGTCGTGTGTAGGAGTATAAGGAGAGTGTATGTTCTGCTCAAGGCATGTGTGGATGTGTGTGTTTTCAGAAGGGGAAGAGCAGTATGTGGATGGTATGCAGGCCATGCGCTAGGTTATAGGGTGTTGATTGTGGGGTGCTAAACCACGGCCTTTTGATGCCTTGGGATCTGGCTCTGCTGTGTTCCACTGTTTGCACTCTGTCATGTCTCTCTGTTTCTTTCTTCAGTGTTCCCAGTTTTCTCCTTCTTTCATTCTTTCCATCTTTTTTCATTGTTTTGTTAAATTTGTCTCCGCTGGAATTCAGAAATTAGGCATGTACATTTTTATTTTACTTAATTACAGTTTACAGCTTCTTTTTTTTTGGTCAGGCAGCCTTGGCCTTCCTTGACACTGTGTCATGCTCCAGCTGTGTTATTAAAACTGTTGGATATTAATTAACTGTAAATTATATTAAAGTGCATATTGCTACAATCATTTTAAACAGTTGAACTGCCTGAAGTTTTGGTTAAATTTGTCTTCTTACTACTACCATTTAGAGAAGAAGAAGCTGGGTTTTTCAACCATTTATCTATTACTTTTAGCTAACTATTTAAACCTTTTATTTCATTACTTTTAGATACAAAATTAAACCATTTATTTGTTACTTTTAGCTAACAGTTTCAGATACTAGCTAAGTGGTATTCCCAGTTGGAAATCGCTGGTTTACAGTATGTGTTTGTCAGCGTGTGTGATGGAGAACACTAGACCATGTGTAGCAGCTCTGCATCCTTGCTCAGTCCTTCACATTCGTCCACTCCACTGCCTCTTGTTAAACAGCTGCTTCTTAAAAAATGGCAGAGTGTCTTCTTGTGGGTTTGTGTTTGCCAGTCTTGCTTCAGATTATATTCTTAACATTTATTTTACAACAGTCTAGATGCCGGATGCCACAGAGAACAGTAAATGTCATAGTTTAAACTAGCAACTTCCTTTGTAATCTCGGTGCCTGCAGTCCATATGTCGAAGTGTCCTTGGGCAAGACACTGAAACCCCCTGTTGCCCCCAGTGGTTAGAGCCATTGGTTGAGTTGGCGCTGCAGATGGCTGCTTTGGTTCTGTACCAGAGACAAATTCCTTGTGTGTAAAATACTTGGCCAATAAAGGTGATTATCCTTATCTTATGTGAGGCTTTTATCTACTTTAAGCATGGATTAGTATGTGTGATTAGATCAAACTACATGTTTACCTGATTCTATGATCACTCATTCAAAGGGGGAGGCCAAAGGATTAAGACTTGTGTTATTGTATGGATGCTGATTCAGCATCCATACTATGTTATCCAATTATTTATTGTATGGATGCTGACTCAGCTGACTCAAATATTCTGAAAATCTTACCCCATTCAAATAAATAGGGAAATTCCAACTTCAGCATACTTTCAGCTCGCAAAAGCATTCAGGTGTGGAAATGTTTAGCATTTTCAGGGCGATCGTTCAGCACTCAGCATCCATACGCATTTTCTTCAGAAAATGCAATTTTCTAGTTACACATGTTTTTTTTGTTTTTGTTTGTTATGCCTTGTCAGGAGTGGGAGTCGGGCCCTGCAGCAGCTTCCTGCCTGCTGGCTGTCTGAGGTTCTGGAGGAGCTCAAGTCCAGTGACCCCTCTTCCAAGCTGTGTGCCACACGGCGCAGTGCTGGAATTCCCTTCTACATCCAGGTGTGTAAGCAGGATTTTTAAGATTTTGATATAACTATTAAGAAACATCAAAAGGATGCTTGTAACATTTCAGTCATGATGCTGGACTTAGTATTGACAAGAGACTACTGTTCAAAATTCAAAACGCTTCCCAACGCAGTAAACAGCACATTCCTCAGATTTATTTCCTTCAGCGTGGGGGGCAGAGTAGTGGTCAGATTGGTTCACCCATCATTAGTGTGACTAACCCTCTTTGGACGCAATGATCCTGATGCTTTGCTGCTGTTTAAAACCAGATCTCCCCAGTTTCGGTTTAGTTCTCCATTTGTACCCTGCTGTCATACCCGACACCAGACTTTCCATAAGACAAAACAAGATCTGGTTTTTATTGTTTCCACTAATTTAGGTCAATTAAAATATAACTTCAGATTGCAGTGCCAGTGCTGTAGTTGAGAAATGGTAAGTATGAAATAAAATAAGTTTATGTGACAATTAAGATTCAGAGTTGGTCAGAAATAAGGTTAAGGTATGAAATGTGTTTCAGAGACATGGTGAAGGTTATGATTAGTGAATAGCTGTTGGAAAGCTTTCCTAGGTTTAGTAATAGGAACACTGTGTGTGCGTGTGTTTGTGTTCTTGTTTACTTCTATAAGAAGTGCAATTAGCAGTTCTTAACATGGCCCTGGGGCCCTCATGCTGGAAGAACTGAGTTTCTGAATCCATCTTTTTTTTCCCTCTCTCCTCTCTTGTGCACGCGCCTACACACACGCACACATGCACACAAATGCTCATAGCACATAGGTGCACTCACACACTGTCCTTTAGCTGACTCCTTAGTAGTCACCAGCCACACACTTCTAAAGCTGCGCTGTAATCTCTGACTAACCGACCTTGACATCTGACTGACTCAGAGTGTTACTCAGGCACTGTTTGCCTCCCCACTTTCTCCGATTATTGATATTACAACTAGACATGACAGAGTTCATGTTTTATCATTGCAGTAGTTTGGAGTAAGGCCGCTCTTTCTTGTGGTTATGGTTACAACAGCATGGATGACATCACCCGCCTCTCTTCTGTTTTTATGCATTTCTGTGCCAGGCACATGTGATATCCAAGAAAGGCCTGAAATCTCTGAACTAGCAGGAGTGTACCAGATTGGGTTCTTTCTTTAATTTTGGTTTTAAATTCAGTTCCACATTTTAACATTGACATAATTATCCCTGATGATTTATGAAACGTTATGTGATTTATCTGCTATAAGCACCACTGTTGCCTGACTGAACTAACCTTTCAAATTTAAAGACAGAAAAGGTTGAAATACATTGAGAGAGGATGGGAAGAACAGCAAGGTGGATCAGAGCACGATAGGAAATGATGAATGACCTAAACGAGGATGAGGATGGAGAGCCAGAGAAGATGAGATGGACAGAGTCAGAGCCCAACAAAGTGGAGGACATCTGGGCAGAGGCCCAAGTCAACACCTTGCATTCCTTCATACAGAAAGACAGAGTCAAATCCAGGAATGCTGGCTCCTGTACTTGCCCCATGCTGGTCTGGACTGATCTGTGACAAACTTCGCAATAACTGGGCTTGTCCCTCCTCTTCCTCTTACCTTCTGTCATTCCTACCTCCAAGGGTTCATTGGAACCAGACTGCACTGCTGCCTCCTCTTCCTCCTTTTTACCTATATCCTCCATTTTTCCCTAATTCTTAACTTTAAACTAGGCCAGACGCACAGGTTGATCCCATCATCTCCCACAGTAACACAACTCCTTTCTCACAGAGCAGCCAAGTGGTGTCACCTCCTGGCTCCCACAGTCTTGACTGCCACTCAAAGCACATACAAATGATGTCATTCAGTGAACCCATCAGTAGTTCAGTTTAGTGGTTTGTTGCTGCAGTTTTAGACAAGATAACTGCATTAAATAAATTGGCTCAATAGTGGACACTGAATAACAATCCAAACATTACTGACGTACTATTAATGTGGCCTATAGTGAAATAGTTACAAGTCATCAGTTGCCTTTATTTGAATAAATTATACAGCAGGTGCTATATAATGTAACAGTGTTTTCTTTTTCATTAGGCTTGATGACATTAAATGGTATTTGTTTTCACATGATCACCTGAATCATTCTTGCTATACATGGGAACATAAGAACCATTATGGCAACTTTACACATCACATTTCTTACTTGCGTATCTTGATATTTTTATTTAATTAAGATCAGAATGGCATTTGAGCGGCACAGCAGCATAGTGGTTAGCACTATTGCCTCAGCAAGAACCGGGTATGAGCCCGGGCTGACCCAATGCCTTTCTGTGCAGAGTTTGCATGTTCTCCCCGTGCCTGTGTGGGTTCTCTCCAGGTACTCCAGTTTCCTCCCACAGTCTAAAGACATGCAACTTAGGTTGATTGGTGACTGTAAATTTCCCTTAGGAATCAGTGTGGTTGCCTGCCTCTAAGTGTCAGTCCTGTGATAGACTGTTGACCTGGCCAGGGTGTACCCTGCCCAGTGTCAGCTGGGATTGGCCTTAGGCCCCCCACGACCCTATTCAGGAATAAGCGGTATAAATAATGGATGGATGGATGGCATCTACAGTGGGTACGGAAAGTATTCAGACCCCCTTAAATTTTTCACTCTTTGTTATATTGCAGCCATGTGCTAAAATCATTTAAGTTCATTTTTTCCCTCATTAATGTACACACAGCACCCCATATTGACAGAAAAACACAGAATGTTTGACATTTTTGCAGATTTATTAAAAAAGAAAAACTGAAATATCACATGGTCATAAGTATTCAGACCCTTTGCTGTGACACTCATATATTTAACTTAGGTGCTGTCCATTTCTTCTGATCATCCCAGAGATGGTTCTACACCTTCATTTGAGTCCAGCTGTGTTTGATTATACTGATTGGACGTGATTAGGAAAAGCCACACACCTGTCTATATAAGACCCTACAGCTCACAGTGCATGTCAGAGCAAATGAGAATCATGAGGTCAAAGGAACTGCCTGAAGAGCTCAGAGACAGAATTGTGGCAAGGCACAGATCTGGCCAAGGTTACAAAAAAATTTCTGCTGCACTTAAGGTTCCTAAGAGCACAGTGGCCTCCATAATCCATAAATGGAAGACGTTTGGGACGACCAGAACCCTTCCTAGAGCTGGCCGTCCGGCCAAACTGAGCTATCGGGGGAGAAGAGCCTTGGTGAGAGAGGTACAGAAGAACCCAAAGATGACTGTGGCTGAACTCCAGAGATGCAGTCGGGAGATGGGAGAAAGTTGTAGAAAGTCAAAGAAAGTCAACCATCACTGCAGCCCTCCACCAGTCGGGGCTTTAGGGCAGAGTGGCCCAACGGAAGCCTCTCCTCAGTGCAAGACACATGAAAGCCTGCATGGAGTTTGCTAAAAAACACCTGAAGGACTCCAAGATAGTGAGAAATAAGACTCTCTGGTCTGATGAGACCAAGACAGAACTTTTTGGCCTTAATTCTAAGCGGTATGTGTGGAGAAAACCAGGCACTGCTCATCACCTGTCCAATACAGTCCCAACAGTGAAGCATGGTGGTGGCAGCATCATGCTATGGGGGTGTTTTTCAGCTGCAGGGACAGGACGACTGGTTGCAATCGAGGGAAGGATGAATGCGGCCAAGTACAGGGATATCCTGGACGAAAACCTTCTCCAGAGTGCTCAGGACCTCAGACTGGGCCGAAGGTTCACCTTCAAACAAGACAATGACCCTAAGCACACAGCTAAAATAACGAAGGAGTGGCTTCACAACAACTCCGTGACTGTTCTTGAATGGCCCAGCCAGAGCCCTGACTTAAACCCAATTGAGCATCTCTGGAGAGACCTGAAAATGGCTGTCCACCAACATTGACCATCCAACCTGACAGAACTGGAGAGGATCTGCAAGGAGGAATGGCAGAGGATCCCCAAATGCAGGTGTGAAAAACTTGTTGCATCATTCCCAAAAAGACTCATGGCTGTATTAGCTCAAAAGGGTGCTTCTACTAAATACTGAGCAAAGGGTCTGAATACTTATGACCATGTGATATTTCAGTTTTTCTTTTTTAATAAATCTGCAAAAATGTCAAAAATTCTGTGTTTTTCTGTCAATATGGGGTGCTGTGTGTACATTAATGAGGAAAAAAATGAACTTAAATGATTTTAGCATATGGCTGCAATATGACAAAGAGTGAAAAATTTAAGGGGGTCTGAATACTTTCTGTGCCCACTGTAAACCTGGTTTTTGAGACCTCACCTGTTGCATAATATTAAACTAAACCAAAAATTTGTGAAACTGTAGTCATATAGGTCAGGGTCAAAGGTCAAAGTGTTTGTTACATGCACAGTTAGGAAACGTGTTTCCCTGTACAATTAAATTCTTACTTTGCCTTCCACATGAATGTCACACAATACAAATGAAATATAAAGTAGATGAATATAAAGTAGATGAATAAGTAACAAAAAATCTAAGGCACTTTAAGAGATATAATATATATAAGAATAAAATAAGAAAATGTATGCTACATGGGAGCAGCATGTGCAGTAGTCAACAGTCAATGTTATGCATGAGCAATTATGCATGTGCAAACTGCGAATGTAAACAATACAGGTCATCAGTACATGATGTATTTCCTGGTAATAAACCCCTGTCAGCTGTTTAGGAGTCTGATGGCAGAGGGAAGGAGAGTTTTTCACTCTAGAGGTCCCGCACTTCACACTTCTGAACCTCTGGCCGGAGGGTAGGGAGGTGAAATAGTCCGTGCTGGGGGTGGGTGGGGTCTTTGAGGTGGTAAATGCTCTGCAGAGAGGGCAGTGGAGTCCTAGTGATCTTCTCCACAGTCTTTACCACTCTCTGCAGGCGCTTGCGGCCCATAGCAGTAGTGCCGCCATACCAGACAGTGATGCAGCTGGACAAGATGCTCTCGACGATGTAACTGTAGAAGTTGCAAAGGATCCTAGGTGACATGCCATACAGTTGGATCCCTGATATGTACAGTATGCATTTTGATGAAATGCATTAAAACACAGTATACATCACAGTGTTGGTCATTTGAATAGCTTTTTCTTTTTTGTGTCTTTCCTTTACTTCCTGCCTTAATAATGTTAATGTTTTTGTCCACCTCTGCAGGCTCTGCTCTCCTCTGAGCCAAAGTTGTCAAGTTGCAGTCTTCTGAAGATGACCATGAGAGAGCTGATATCCCTGGCCATGCCGTCTGCTGACAGGAGCACAAGCAGCTCCACCGTCCCTCAGGTATGATCATCCACTACCTTCGTTTATGAGTCCTACATCTAGTCAGATCTAATTGGGACAGCTGCTTGCTCTGAACAGAAACAACATTCTAAGGAGCATCCATGTAATGGATGCTATGATATATTTGCTATTTTTGCTCTTCACCCTAAAACTCTTAAAAAGTTTGTTTTAATTGTCTGTAACAAAAGCAGGTTAAATGTCAAAAATTAAATGGGTTAGTACCCACACACTTATGATCAATGCTGCACTAACAAGCTACATCATATGATGGATAGCACTGAGGAGACAGTTCAGCTCTAGAAACAAAATGATCCAAAATGGTAGCTGTTGCTACTAAAATTGTCTGTCAGCCTCAGCAGGCAGCCAATCATCTTTTGAAGGACAAATTGTACTCTAAATATATTTTGGGGCTTATTAAATAATGAGACAGTTTTGCAGTGCATCATCTAAGGTGGCCAGTGTTCTTGCAGTCAAAGGTCAACGTGTTTGTCATATGCACAGTTAGGAAACGTGTTTCCCTGTACAATGAAATTCTTACTTTGCCGTCCACATGAATCCCACAAAATACAAATGAAATATAAAGTAGATAAATAACACAAAATCTAAGGCACTTTAAGCAGCGCAGATGCAGCAATATGGTAGAAAAAAATATACAAGAATATAATAAATGTATGCTGCATTGGAGCAGCATGTGCAGCAGTCAACAGTCAATGTGCAATTAT